CTGATGTCAGTGTTTTGGACTTGACCAAGTAGGAAGAGTCCAACAAAAAGGCAGGGGCTGAGAGAGGCTCACACACCCTCTAATCTCCCCAACACTCCACACTGTCCTGCAGCACACATGCTCACAAACACACACACACACACTCCAGATCTCAATCTCCTCTCTTGCACTAAACATGCTCTGTTGGGAATCGTGTTTAGCCCTAATGATCACCGGCTTCCCAGTGTGGGCTCTGCCTTCAACAAACATCAAGATCACACAAGGTGAGTGCCACCAGAACCAAAGACAAGGATACAGCGCAGACACAGTTAATATGCTTTAATTTGCTTCTTTACATGGCGAATAGACAGTCTCAAGCTAAACCAGAGATGCTTTGCCAAGTTATAGATGCTTCTGTTTATAATGTGTAGTTTTAATCTGTATTTTGTATACAGTTTGCCCAGTGAATGAGGATGTGACATAAATGCTATACTTGCAATGTTTTATTTATTAGACTAGCAGTGAATCCATCTTTGAAGGTTAAGTATGACTCTGATTTGAAAGGCAGGAAAAGTCTCCCTGTAACATACTATGCTGGAAAAAAAATTTGCCACTAAATAATTCAATTATTTTCCTTAACATTGCATTTCATTTATCATTTATTTAGGAAGCATTTTTCTTACATTTAACTGACTTCAGTTATTGTAATGTAATATTTAAATACTGTAATAACCATACTTTTTTGGTGGAAAGCGTAACCTATAATTGTTTTTGTTGCATAACAGAATTTCTTTAGCTCTTGCACAGTTCAAACTAAATTGAAAGCAGGCTGGTTCTGTGAAAAGAAAACAATGACATTATATTTTGAAATCAGCTAAATCCTTTCCAGATGCTGTTTCAGATAACGTAATAATATATTTTTGTGGTGTTTGTAAGTGTTTGACCTATTATGTGCTCGTATACTATACTGAACTGCTAAATTAAAATGGATTTAATGTCATTACCGTTTCCTCTAGCACTGCCCCTGCAACTGTCAGACTCAAACCAGCCTGTGACATGTCCGCTCTTCTGGACTGAATTTGAGGGTTACTGTTACCGCTTCTTCCCCTTGAACCGCACCTGGGCTGAGGCAGATCTGTACTGCGCTGAGTTCTCAAACGGACACAAATCTGCCAAACTCACCTCCATCCACAGGTATGACTCGTCACTGACAGTGCTGCGATTTGTCTTACAGTACAGGATTTTGCTGGACCTTCTATTAAAATATACCCTTTCTAATAACTTTTTTATAGCTGGGAGGAAAATGTGTTTGTCTATGATCTTGTGAACAGCCGTGTACCAGGAATTCCAACAGATATTTGGATTGGCCTTCATGATAGAAGACAGGTAAACATCACACAATAAGAGCAACACAAAATATTGATTTTTCAATGATTCACTGATGCTTTATTATGTGAAGCAGTCATGATTCCTAGTAACCCATTAAAAACATTAACAGCTACATGACTGACATAGCTTGTGTGTGTTGTAAAAGTCCAAGCCCAGTATGTAAATCCTCCCACTAATAATCCCATGAATGGAAACTATAGTTTCTCTGAGTGACGTTTAATCATTTCCAGACAGTGGTGAACCAACACTTTGGTCTAACACTAAGTTGAGGTAAATAGTTTATGGATGATGTTGTAACAAACCCTCAGTTTTGTAAATTGAAAGTCTGGATCAAATGATCCAGAAAGCACCAAAGCTGTGAACTCGTGCTTGGCAGGAAGATTTTAGTTATCGCTTCAGGGTCAAGAGGCAAGGAGCAAGCAAATGTGATAGCGTTGTTAATCATAGTTTGTGGGTAGGAGGGCACTATGGAGTGGACAGACGGGTCACCCTATGAATACAGTTACTGGGATGGAAATCAACCAGATGATGGCATCCATCGCATCCCTCAGGAGGAGGATTGTGTGGAGATCTGGTACAGACAAAACAGTGGTGAGTTCGCAATTTTTTGAATCATATAACAGAAATTAATTTAGATAATTTAGTACAATTAAGATAACATGTTAAGAAACTAACATTCAATGTCTTTGAAAGAAGTCTTGTATGCATACCAAGGCTGCAGTTTGTATTTAATCAATACAGTAAAAACAGTAATATTGTGAAATATTAAAATGACTATTTTTCTATTTTAATATATTTTCAAATGTAATTTAACACTGTGATGGCAAAGCTGTATTTTCAGCCATTACTTCACTCTTCAGTGTCACACGATCTTTCAGTAATCATTCTAATATACTGATTTGCTGCTCGAATAACATATTATTATCAGTGTTGAAAACAGTCATGCTGCTAAACATTTATGTGGAACCAGTAATAAGAGAGAGATATATATAGCTGATTGACAACCCCACTAAATATGTCAGGACATTACAAAATGAAGAAACTGTTTGCATCTTTCCATCTTTTGCAGCACTGAGGTCTTGGAATGACAACAATTGTGACAAGGCCTTTCCATTCGTCTGTAAGATTCCTACACTGGAAAACTAACCTCAGCGCTAAGATTGTTTATCCAGTTCTTTATCGTCAACACTGACACCCAACATCCCTCAATCACAGTGCAGCAACAAGATGTCCGCTCATCTCCATCCCTGCAGTGATGAAGGGCTCTCTCCAGCCTGCT